ATTAAAATTGCTCCTGGAAAATAATAACAAAATTTTTTCTTTTCACTTCAGCCATTAGCCATGCCCACTTGTCCCATCTGCTGCCTGCCCCAAGACAACAAAAACCGCTCGGCCTAGCTCTCCGCCTGTACAGCCGCACCAGAGCCGCAACTCCTGGCCTGGCCGGCAAAATCATCGCCTTATTGCCTGCATCCCTTTGGCCCCAAACCCCAGCGTGTCGATCGCGCTCCACCGTCGGATCGAATCGGACGGCCGAGCGTTCATTTCGGCCGGTCAAAACCATCGCCGCGGCCGATGCCCCGGAACCCTAGCTCATTCGCCCCCTGCCCTTTCTCTCTCTCTTCGCTCTCTCTTCTCAGAACACAATGATGATGACAGCAATGCACCGAGCAACCGCATGAAGCGAGGACGGCAGAGCGGGCAGCCATGGCGCCGTCGTTGCCCCCCCTCGCGCCGCGCAGTGTTCTAACGGTGAGCACGCCGCCCGTGCCGAGCGGCAGCGCCACGGCCAGCGCTTAACTTAGCGAGCCCGCGACGTACCCCTTCTCGCAGCCGCCCTTCTTCTCCTGCTACCGGCGAAGGGCCATCCCGACGCACGACGAGGTAGTTTTCTTCTCCCTTCGGATTCGTTTTCTATCTTCTTTCTTTTCTTTTATTCATCCGAATGGGAAACTAGGGTTAGGGTTAGGGTTCCGACCCTTCTTTTCTTTCTTCTTCCCCTTCTTTCCCCTTTCCCCTTCTTCTTTTGATGTGGGGAATTAGGGTTAGGTCTTAGGGTTCGGCCAAATCCGAATTAGATCTGTTCTGTTCTTGGGTTAGGGATACACAGAGGCCACCTGGCTCCGATGCCATTGTTAAATTTCTTAGGACTCAATCGAGTCAAGTTCACCAAATCGGGTACACAGAATAGGAATACATGTTCAAGATTTACAGTATATATATAAAACCTAATGCATGAACTACAGAGATATAAAAGGAAGAAAAGAGGTAGGTGGAGTAGGAAGTCGCAGACCATCGAAGGCCGTAGTGGCCGAAGCAGTCGGAGTGCTGGAAGCGCCGGCCGCGGCCTCGTTCGCGGATGCCATCTGCGCGCCGGCAGCGACGTTCGGTGGAGAGAGGAGTCGGTGCAGTGGCGTCCTTGGCGGCGGCGTGTGCGCGTCGGGTGGCGTTATGGGCGTCGGTGGTGCTTCCCGTCATTGGCAAATACGCCTTCTCAAGATCGGGTTAGGGTTAGGATGTCGGTGGGGGGTGTGCGGCGGCGGTGAACCTCGTCTCTCATGAGCCCCGCCCCACCTTTCCTTTATAGCGCTGTGCGATGGGGGCCCACCAACCATGTAGGGTTGGGCGCCCCCGATCAGGGCGCGAGAACAAGGCCCAAAAGCCGTTGGGCCTAATGGCGTGGGAGATCAATCCAACAGGGGGTTGTTTCTTCTGTGCTGAATTTCCTCAGTTTTGCCACGGATATAAATGTCGTGAGTCATTGATTTTTTTTCTCTGGGGATTAATGTAGCCATCAAATTTACCTATATGAATGGTGATCCTACTACAGGCTTCAATCGTGTGAGACCTTTTGCAGTACATTCCTTTTGGTCAAATTGTTCATTGATCCTTTTGCTGAATGATGTGGCCACTTCGTTTCCATTTCATCTTTTGTGGTGTCAGCATAAAAGGTCACATTTGGTTCAGTTTATTCTACATTTCTTATATGTACAATAATAAGAGGATGCATTTTGATAGTGTTGAGCAAAAAACATACACATATATATAAATTTTCAGTACATACTAATCAGCATGCAAAAGTTGCATTACCTTATCATCTGCTTTGTGTTTGAACTGGTTCTAGTAGTTACTCTGCACGCTGATTTCCTCTTGCATTTTCAGCTAAGACTCAATTTATTTCTTTCAGCTAGCAACATTTCAGTTGTGAAACAGGCGGAGGCTCTTTTGGACCCTGACCTTTTCAATATGCGGGTTCGAGTCGCAGTCTCCTCGCATTGCATAGGCGAGGGTAAGGCTCCCACTAACACCCTTCCCCAGACCCCGCACAGAGCGGGAGATCTCTGCACTGGGTACATCCTTTTTAAGGTTCACTATAGCAGCCATCCCTTTTGTGCCGCTGTTACTAAGATCGCTGAGGGATATGCAAATCTTTTTTTAGAGGACTAGAGTTGGGCATTTGGGTAAGCTTGGCCTACCTGTCTCAGGCTATGGGGTTAGTTACAGCTGATGCCTTCCCTAAAACGTATGAATATGATCACATCACTATTCTTCATTCAAATTGCTGCAGGTGATCATTGTCCCTTTCTTGGATGGTCTTATTGGAGCAGAAGTACCTGCTCATACATGGTTTGGAGCATTTTTATCACTTCTTGGTGTTGCTATACTGGAGCTAAGTGGTTCTCCGCCATGTGTAAGTCGGATTATCTACATGGACAGGTTAACATGTTTGTCTGGACCTTTTGTCTGCTTGTCTTATTGCCTATGATTCTATGCTCTGTCAAGGTTACTGTTGTCTTCAAAGTTTTATAACTCATTAATCGCTGCTTTAGTAATTTGGATATTTTGAATATTTTGAGAACTACACCACCAGGGATTGCGCCTGCCATATTGATTGATGTTCTCATGATCTCATCCCATGCTTCCATCAGGTTGGTGATCTTCTGAACCTCGTGATCTCCTTTTCTTTTGCAATTCATATGCTCAGAACTGAGCATATTTCCAGAAATATAAAGAAAGAAAATTTCTTAACTCTTGTTGGATGTGAGGTTAGTATTCTGACTAAGACTCATTACCTCAGTTATGCGAATTATTTTCTGTTCCTCTTGACAAGGTTCTTAAACAAGTGTAAAACCAGGTGTTTGTTGTAGCAATCCTATCAGCAGTGTCATATATTTTTAAATGCTTCACACGAAACGTGCAACACTGGAATTTCAAAACATGGCCACAATCGGAGTTATTTGGTATGGTGATGTTGTTTCCTTGGCCAGCAATTCTATACACAGGCATATTCTCAACTGTGTTTTGTTTATGGGCAGAGGTTAGTTTTGTTGTCATCAGATCAGCTATTCTCTTGGATGAGGTCGTTTTTGTATTACTGCTGATATTGTGGAATTTCTCTCCTTTTTTCTTTCAGGTGGCTGCTATGCGTGATGTATCAGCTACAGAAACTGCAATTATTTATGGTCTGGAACCTGTACAGGATTTGTCGGGGCTATCTTCATCATAGGTAAAAACGTATTCACCGTGTTGTCAGTGACATTGTGGATCATAAATTTTCATTCACAGTATTTTTCATGTTTAATTGTTGAAGACATCAGTAATCTTTAAGAAGCTCTCAAAATGAGAAGTTTTCATCTCGAGTCCTTGAGTTTTCATCTCGAGTCCTTGATAATTTGTTTTTTTTTCTGCCAGTATCTTGATGGGTTTAAAACTTTAGATAGAGAAGCTGACCTTGAGCCTTGGTCTTTAGTTTTTACTGCAGTAGCTTCATGGTTTTAAATATAGAAGCTGATTGGTTCTTTTTTCTTTCAGCTGGTAGCTTGATGGTTCAGATATTTGGATCAATCCCATATGTATCTAGAGGAGACAATTACCAGATGAACAGTTAAATTTACAGAAGATAAAGCAAGCTTTTTTTTTCCTTTTATAGTGTAGCTATCTAATAACCTAGCAATAGCAAGCATGTCAGCACAAAGAAATCTAACAATTGTTATGACACTAGTAGGCAGTAGTCTAGGGAACCGAAGCTCTCTTGTTGACCAACACACATTTATGCTGAATTGTGACGTCGATAGGAACCAGTTCAATTCAATCAGGTCGGAAGAGTTACTTTCACCATATAATGTTTCTCATTGTAGATTAAAAAACATTTGGTCACCATATATTTTGCATTTCGAATGTTTCAATCCAATGTTTCTCATTGTAGATTATTAAAAAACATAGGATAAAACAATCAGTTCCTTCTCTTTTTTCTTATCAAATTTTCCAGGGACCTGTTTTCACGCTGATTCTGCATCAAGCTTGCCTTAGGTGTCAGAAACTTGTCATAGACTCATAGTCAGTCTTTTCCCTATCACGATGTAATCAGAGCTCAGACACAGTATGTCTGTAGCCCACACCCCAACCCCAGCTAACAATGGTCCTAGACGGCCAGAATTATCCTCCTTAGCCAGGGCACCTTCATTTCTCCAATAGCAACAATGCTACCTGCAATCACTGGCAGCAGGTAATCCCATTTTGATCTTGATTGGCTCCTGTTTTCATGTGATTGCCTACGTATTCGCTGTGCTGGACCGGCTTGTCTTCTTTTCTTTTTTTTTTGAAAATTAGGGCCTACCTGTCATCAGAACCACACCCTTGCCAATAAAACTGTTCACGTAGCTCTGAAGTCTGACCACCGTCCATACAGTCCGTTTGTCTCCTGATTGTCCCCTTTTGGTGAACGCATTCAGTGCCATCACGGAGCCTGGAGGCTCGGTGATATCCATCGCCTGTGACTGGCATCGTTCCCATAATCTCAAATGCTACAGGCATCCAAGGAACAGGTGCCTGTGGCAGTCAGTGTGTGTGACTTCAGATAGAAGCTATCACCAGCGCAGCATGCATCAAGGCAAATTTGGCAGCCCTCAGATGCCATTAGTTCTTATCCACCTTGGTAGACCAGACCAGGTGGTCAGGAAGGCATACACAATTCACAACACATCTTAACCATAAAACTGTAGGAATGTAAGAAGTTATTGCTGTACCTACTAGTCTGAAATATGTCAGTAAAATACATACATCAGATAGTCTAGGAAGATATAACACGATGTACTTCCAACAGCCAGTTTCCCCATTGAACAAGTCAAAACAGGAGATAGCTTCTGCTGCCTCCACCTTCTATTTTTTGTTACAGGGAATGTGGAGGATTGCAAATAAGGAGGCAACCAGTAAATCTAACCATGTAACTAAGACGGGCAAAAAACAGGAGGCAGGGAAAATTAAAGAAATAGACAGGCTGTTCAATAGTTGTTGTTGTTGTTGTAGCCAATGAAATTGTTGCGGTACCGCATTCCGTACTGCTCATAGAATGTGTCTCCATAGTTCACAGCCTTGATCTCGACCATGCGCCGCTTGCTGTCCACCTCCTGGACCGCGCCAAAGACGATCTCATTTGTAGCCTCACAGCTCTGCTTGTAAAATGTCTGCGGGCCTGCAGAGTACTGCCTGTGCTGCTGCAGGTGCTGCTGTTGGTGATACAGTTGCGGGTCCGGCTGCTGCTGAGGGTGACGGTGACCGTCCCAGCTATTGAAATACAGGTGCGGGTGCCCATGGCGGACGTAGTGGATCTTCTCAGGCTCCTTTGTCATCAAGCTGTAGTTCTTCTGAGGGGTTGGTGCTCTTGTGTCCAGTGCTGGAGGGGGTTCATCGTGTGGGATGGCATAGCTTTCTTGCACTGGCCAAGGGTTAGCTCTTCGTTGCTGCTGATGGTATGGGCCGCTCACGCGCTTCTTCTTGAAACCAAATATCTCAGCCACAGATGATTTTGCCCCTCCAATGAGTTTGCCAGCTGAGGTGAAGAACCCCTCTTCAGTTTCCTGTTTTGCAATTTCTTCTCTTGGGATGAATGGTTGACGAACATAAGGATTTAAAGGCTTCTGGAATGGAGGGATACTTGCAATGCTGGGTCTTGGAGGCGCTTGAGGTTCCTGTAAGGTAAAATTTTAGTTTAATAAAGATGCAACTGTAAACTAATACATGAGTGACATAGCAAAGATAATGCATTTGGTCATCATTTCTACTTTAGCAATGGTCTAAAATACGATAACAAATTAAATTGTCATTTATTTTTTATGCACTCTTCTATAGATGTGTCCTCAAAATCAGTAAATTATCATTGTTCAGTTACCTAACTAACAAAATCAGTTATCTAAAGCTGAAATATCATCTAAAGATCTATTACTTGAACCATAAAAGGTTTGCATTTTAACTGTTATGGCACACATCCAATTTTAGTAGCTGTGAGGATTGGTATCAGACATATTGAGTGCACAGGCTGCAGCCACAAGATTATAAAAGGGCGTACCCAGTGCAGAGAGCTCCCGCTCTGTGCGGGGTCTAGGGAAGGGTGTCAGTGGCAAGCCTTACCCTCGCCTATGCAATGCGAGGAGACTACGACTCGAACCCGGGACCTTTTGGTCACAGGCGGTAAGACTCTACCACTTACACCAGGCCCGCCCTTCAGCCACAAGATTATGAATATAAGAATATTAGCTGTAGCGTAACCAAAGATTGATGCTGAAATATGCATGTACCAATGTGCTGGTTTACAGCAAGCCTACAAACTGTGGTCCACACACTAGTTATAAAAATTCTACTTGTCAGCAAATGTACCTATGTCACCTTTTCTTTTCTCTTTTTTTTGGGGTGTGTGGGGTGTTGGGGGGTGGGGGTGGGGGGATACAGATAAAAAAAAAGTATGACAAACTTACATCTGTTGTTGATGCCATCCCTAAAAGCCGGCGTTGGAGCAATGCAAGCATATAACCAAAGAAACCAGCAGCACAAAGCAATGCAAACCCTGTGAGCATTCAAAATCAAAAGTAATTACTATTCATTTTTTTCAGGCTCCTTTTCATTTTTGCTATGTCATTTGAGCACTGAATGCAGTGGCCATATGACTGGCTTTACATGGCAGAAGTAAAATATGGTCAAGTAATATGAATGAAGAGGTTAAGTGCAATGTACCTAGTGGAAAACCAGCTTCATACTGATATGTACAGTCATCATCGTTGAGTGGAATCTCTCGAATTGCTTGGTTTCCTCTATCAATGACCAAGAGAGAGCAGCTACTACTGATGTACTGGATCTCAAAATCAGTTGAAAATTTTGCATCATCACTGGGCCCATCGATGTGCCCTCCTCTAATTGATTTTCCCCCAGCAATGGTTGTAACCCCTAAATATTATAATACAATTTGTCAAAAACTTAATCCACAATATAATAAACAAGGATATTTACAATAGATAGCTCCAGAAGAAGATCCAAACAAATTTCACCTAAAGCCAGATTCAATTAGCATAAAGATTGGTAATCTCCACTGAAGAAAGTAAATTGGTTAGTTCATTCTGAAGGAAATTAGTTACAATAGAAACATGAATGTGCTAAAAGAATTTGAACAGAAAACCAACAGCAAAGGTCAAATGATTGTAGAAATTTGAACCAAACTATATTGCTAATCAAGAGAAAAGAGTAGAATGTTTGTATGCTCGGTATCCATTACTAAATAACTGCTGAAGAAACAATTTTTTAGGCACACTGACAGCATACCTCGTTCGGGATGCAATTTTGGGCACAAGTAGTAAATAAGTGCTGGAGAAGCTCCAGGAAAACCACAGAACAAACAGAGGGTGCCTGGGGGACCAGATAATGCCATGTGGGCTACCTCAGAATGGGCCATTTTAGCTTACCTGTATCACTGATCTTTCTTATTGCCATGTTCATAGCGTCTGCAACATAAATATTGCCCTTATCGTCCACAGTGAACCCCTTAGGATGGTTCATCCTCGCTTCTCTCAGCCTTCCATCCACATGGCCAGATAAACCTTCTGGAGAACCAGCAAGGAGCTTTGGTCTGCTGTCTGCATTGTTGGATCCATTTTCAGAAGATCCATCAGAATCGAATTGCTTGGATATAATCCAGGAAGCATCTTATGCTAAAAATAACATGCATGACAACTTTACTGTCCTAAAATACAAGCCATCTTGTTGCAGTGAGGGAAGTGTGACTGATATAGCATTTGCTCATAGTGAAGTTGCAATATAAAAATTCCAAGAGGCACCTACCTTTAGTGACATGAAACATAGATATTGCTAACAATTTCAGGCAACCAATTCATACAAACATTTTTCCTGGTGAACAAAAAGTCATGGTCTATTTGCTCGACTTCTGACATGTGAAACCGAGGACGTAAACGAACAGTACATAAACAAAGGAAAGTGAAGGGGAAAAAAACTCCTGAACAATGACGCCACAGACATGGGGACTGAAAGTGACAAAGGTGGCAAAGAACTATCATGTCATATTGTCCATACGAGGTTTACTAGCAATGAAGAAAATAACAGTCATTTCGCAGTCGAGGAACAGCCCTTGATGAAGTTAGCATGCAACATCAGCCCCTACCAACCACCAAGAACTCCTCACTCACTACTCACATGATCGAGAGAGGCAGCACACTTAGCAGAATCCCATGAATGAAGACTGAAAAACCTGAAAAAGACAGGGAGTGGTCGGAGGCAGAGCGTGCTCACATGGTGACAGCGGCAGCTGGACCCTGTAGATGTTGCTGTTGATGGAGTCGAGCACGAGGAGGTCGCCGGCGGGGGTGATCTCGACGGCGTGCGGCTCGATCCCCAGTTTGCTGCCGTCGAACACCGTGTCCACCGCGTACCCGCCCTCGTACCGCACCATGGACCGCCCCGCCACGGCCGCCGTCGCTGAGCCGGAGCAGGGCACACCCGGTGAGAAAAAGCGAGTGAATAAGCCGAGAATCGGAGAGGGAAGTGACGACGCCACGTGCCGGCGATTACCCGTCTTGGTGGCAGCCGATTTGAGCGACCACAGCTGCTTGGCCACCGCCGACGCCGTGGTGGACAGGAGCCTGCCCGCAATCCCTGCCACCCGACGCGGAATAATAAAACTTAATCAGCGGAGGAAACGAAGCGAACCAGACGGTGGCGCCGCGAAAGGAGCTCACTTGCGGGGTACGAGGACGCGGCGGACGCGGGTGGGAAGAAGGCGCCGAACAGGAGCGCGACGGCCAGGAGCGCCGCTCGCCCTGGCGCCGCCATGGCCACCATTGCTTTGCTTGCTTTCTCTGCCTCTGGGCTGACAGAGCAAGAACCAAGAGGCGAGAAAGGGAGGAGCTTGCAGGGGGGGTGCCTGTGCCTATGGTGAAGGGAGATGTGAAGAGGGCGACGAGGCCATTTGAGGACAAAGTAAAGAAGGTTCAGAGAGCACCAAGAATGCGGCCTCTTTTGGGGCCCGGCAGTTCTCGCTCGCCGTCGCCGGGTGGAAAAGGAGGGAAGAGATAGAGATAGAGAGAGAGAGAGAAGGCGTAGTAAAGCGAAGAGGGAGGGGGAGCGTGATGACTGATGAGAGACACAAGAGAGGTCTGCTGGTGGCGCTCTCGCCCGCTGGCCGCTGCGGCGCTGCCTGCTGCTGTTACTGGGAGGTGCCTGTGCCTATGGTGAAGGGAGATGTGAAGAGGGCGACGAGGCCATTTGAGGACAAAGTAAAGAAGGTTCAGAGAGCACCAAGAATGCGGCCTCTTTTGGGGCCCGGCAGTTCTCGCTCGCCGTCGCCGGGTGGAAAAGGAGGGAAGAGATAGAGAGAGAGAGAGAGAGAGAGAAGGCGTAGTAAAGCGAAGAGGGAGGGGGAGCGTGATGACTGATGAGAGACACAAGAGAGGTCTGCTGGTGGCGCTCTCGCCCGCTGGCCGCTGCGGCGCTGCCTGCTGCTGCTGCTGTTACTACTCGCCGCCTTGCCTTCCACGCTGCACCGTTCGCTCCTCTCTCTATCTCCCTGCCCGTGTTCCGTGGGGCGGCGGCGGGGGCGTGCCTCTGCGTTGTGGACCCCAGCACTGGATGTAGGTAGGGATAGAGTGGGTTTATACCCGATGGGCACCCATTCTTTATCAAATCCATCAGGATTTTTCGCACTCACTAAGAAACTTAGGGCCTGTTCAGTTGGTAAAAATTTTTGGTTTTGGGTACTGTTGCACTTTCGTTTTTATTTGACAATTAGTGTCTAATTATGGACTAATTAGGTTTGAAAGTTTCGTCTCACGATTTCTCACCTAACTGTGTAATTAGTTTTTTTTTTGTCTACATTTAGTACTTCATGCATGTGCCGCAAGATTCGATGTGATGGATACTGCGCAAAAAATTTTGGGTTTTGGATGAAACTAAACAGGGCCTTATATCTAGAGATGGATCTGGATGTTAAAAGATCTGAAACATTTAATATTAATATTTGTTTTAGCATCAGTTTAAATATAATAAAAAAATTCTAATACAGATACAAAATGCATGTACCCATATTTGTTTTCTATGATTTTTCTCTATCAGATTTCATGTCTGTATTAAAAAAATATAAAATATTCGGCATTAATCGATATCTGTATATGCAGATATAAAGTATCCTATAAAACTATCTAAAACTTATATTTATGACTATTTAGTGATGTAAATGATATCAATTATAATATAAAATGCATCATTTAAACTATTTAAAACTTATCTCTATGGCTAATAACATTATATTAGTTTTATTATTATTAACAGTATATAAAGGTTAATTTTAGTATGGCTAGTTATACTAATTTAAGTACTTTAGTTATTCACATGTTGATGAAATTATTTATATATATTTTAAACTATTTATTGATACATATGTATTTATAGTTTTATTGATTTTTATATATTTTATTATTGAAATATTTATTATATATGTTATCTTATAGGTTGTTATTATCTGCAGGTGTTATATAATCATATTCTTTACATGCATAATGATTTTATTCTATTAAAACCAGTGACAAGCAAATAGATATATATTATCATCAAAATCTAGTAAATATCTAATGTGAATCTAAATTCAAGACATTTGTTTTGCATTTGTATCTGATAATATCATTGATATCTGGATTCCAATTAAATGTAGTAAATGATCCTGTCCGTATTTGATTCCTTGCATATTTGATCCGAGTCCATTCCTACTTATATCCATGTGTAGGTACAACTCCATGTGAGGACATGACACGAATAAATACGCCTATGAATGTTAAAGAGAATGTGAGCTTGTTGCTATGTTTGCACAACAACATAAGTAAGAATTTGTTGCTACCTGGTGTCGCCACTTTCATTGTGTTTAGAGAACAATTTGAGGATGCTATGAACCTTGGAGAGAGACCTCTTATGTGGCCTGTGTAACTCATGGATATGGATGCACCATGATCAAGACCTATCTTGAGGTACAAGATCATTAAGTAGTAATTAGAGCTTTAGGTGTACCATTGGGTTCGCATCTTACCGCCAGGTTCCCATAGTCCATTGTCATATTTGTTTCTTGTCCTACAATCATCCGCGCTATAACCTTTGCATAATTTAATTTCAGAGTCCGCCGTGTTGAGTTTGTGTCCTAGGTCAAGGCCTTGTTGCTGGTTTAGATCGTGTTCTTTTCTAGTTTGTGTTGATCCCTCCACTCGCCGTCATCTCGTATCACCATCGGTTTACATCTTGTGTCCACATAAAAACCCGATTCGGATTGTCTTACTTAAAACAGTCATAACTTTTGTATCTAGATTCGAAATGGGGCGAATTCTATATCTACTGAGAACGCCAAAAAAATTAGATATGTTTCATCTGAGCATAGCTGGGTTCACAAATAGTAGATTTGCAAAATTCGATCAGAAAAATTAAGTTTCTGGACCCAAAAATTTTGGTATGCTTTTCAGAGCTCAATTCTGATTTTTTATAGACTAGTAAGGACATCAAATGGATCTGATCTCACCTCAATATCATGTTGGAAAAGACTCCAAATCATCTAGACATGTTGTTGTTGTTTATGTCGGGTACTACAACGTCGCCCTGGGCTTGACATTCACCCTTGGGACCCAGGTCCAAGGTAAAGCATGCCCCAACTATGTGGAGAAGACCAGCAAGGATGTCCAAGACAAGCCGGAGACCCAGTCTAACTCGAATTCGAGTCTACCTCGATCTTCGGGACCAGCCTATAGTAAAACGAATGCTCAGGACGAACACGGACTCTATTTTCGATGATCCACATATGCATAGAAAGCAAATTTTATAAGCTAACCAATGGCTTTGGCTTGTGGTCCAAATTCCACCGGAGTCAATAGGGTAGTCAAAACAAGTCAGTGTCCAAAATCTGTAAGGATGTTGTGCCAATGTCTTTTGGCCCGTCAGGCCATGTATCATCTTAGAGCTTATTAAGGGGCGCGTATAGGGGTGTGACAACCCTTAGATCTTATATTGAGTTGTCACCACATATGTTAGGGTATAGACTTATTTTAGATCAATTTGTCTTTGAATAGTCAGCATTATTGGTTTGTGAGACACCAAATTCGAGTGCTTAATCATATATCCGCAATTTTCACTATATGGCAAGGTCAAGCGGATTGTGACACGGTTGATAACCAAAGGAGATGTCGTGCTAAGGTTTGCATGGTTCGGGTCTTTGTTATCTAAAACCGGATCATTGTGTCGCTCTCCAACCAAATTGTTGTTTACCTCGACATGATAGAAGACCGGGAACACCATCCCAACACCATGTCCATGCAAATACAGGTACCCATAGGTTATGTATATCTGAAAAAATATGTCGCATACATCAAACTATAACTATATGAGCAACCTACATATTTACAAATATATAATAAATGTAAAAACGATGTGTTTTTTATATGGCACTAGGTGACTTAGGTGGACTGTGTTCCGGAGTACTTTTTAGTTGAGAGATGCCGAAACTACAGTCATATCGGGTATAAACGTACCCCTAGGTTTACGGTTTCGAGTAATGTATATATCATACATATACCCGTAAACCTGATGGGAACGATTTTTATCCATTAACATACACATGGATAAGGAAATTGACCCACACTTATATTCTAACGGTATTTAAGTGCTTTGAGTTTTGTGTTGCGGGCGCCCATTGCTATTCCTTGTGTCTGTTTGCGACTTGCTATTCCTAGATGTTCGTGGTAGATTTGCCGTATGGAATGGAACTATGGAAGTGATAACAGTACAGCTTGGACTTTGGTCAGGCCGTTTGGAATCAATTTTTTTTTTTGGATTTGATGTTTGTCCCATGAAATTAAACTGAATTTTGTAAAATTTTGATACGATTCATATGAAATTTCTATGTTTTAAATATGCACAAAAGTGCAGTTCTTCTCTCTAAGCATACAACATTTCTACAAACTGTTGTGGAACTTAAGTGTGTAAATGTTTCATTAGCTTGTATTGATGTGATTCCCACTACCATAATGCTATCACTATCCTAAGTCTAAATTACCCCTTTCAAGTTTGGCTTATGTATGCTTCGTTTGTTTCTCCTTTGATGTCGCAAAGTTGAAACCAAGAAATATCTGTTACTTTCCTGATGTTTTTGAACACTTTCAATAAAACCCTCTAGTAGAAGTATTTTAACAATGTTTTCGATTTATTCCAAGGTTTACTCCATAACAAGACTTGTTATTTTTGTTTCTACATGTATAAGTTGAGTTGCAATTTCAAATTCTATGAGGTGACAACGGACATCATACTTTATGTTAACACATACATCTACTACTTACATATAAATGATTTTGCGAGGCATTGCCCAACCATTAATGGAGGCTGCCGTCAGTGACTAGTTGCCCCGGGATAAGTGATCACCTCCGTTAATGGTTAATGGAGGTGGATGACATAATGCAACCGTCTCCGTTAATCATCCATTAGTGTAGGCGCATGATTTATGCCGACCGCCTCCGTTAATGGAATAACTGAGACGGTCGTAGGTGATTGTCTCAATAGATGAAATGGGTGTCTACTAGCCCCCTACTGCTTCGGGTAAGTCAGGCTAGTTGAACGTATATGTTGCTATAGTAGGATCACCCTTTTCATATTTCAAACATTTGAAACTTGTTTGATTTGATCGCTACAGTCCAGGCAACAATGGCCACTGGATTCCGTTTCCTAATTTATCCACAGCTATTTGATTCTTTGGATTACCCAAAAGAGTCGTACAAGGACTTTGAGACCACGTTGAATTTGTAAGTGACAATACCGATTCT